GGATGTGTAATCTAAACCTCCTCTCCAACAACTTGTGGCCGTTATTCCTTGTTATGCAGGGGGGCGCTCGGGGAAACCAGGTCTCCCCCAAACCCTTCTGGTCCCCCCCCAGTGAGTTTATAGATGGCTCCAGGTCCCCCCTCAGCCTTCTCTTGTGGAGGCTGAACAGGTTCAGGTCCCGTCGCCTCTCCTCGTAGGGCCTGCCCTGCTGCCCCCTGACCACACAAGTGGCCTCTCTGGACCCTCTCGATGCTGTCCACATCCCTCTTAAAGTGCAGCGCCCAGAACTGGACGCAGTACTCCAGCTGCGGCCTGACCAGTGCCGCACAGAGGGGGAGGATCACCTCCCTGGACCTGCTTGAGATGCATCTGTGGATGCACGACAAGGTGCAGTTGGCCTTCCTGACTGCGTCCCCACGCTGCCGGCCCATGTTCATCTTGGAGTCAGTAATGACTCCCAGATCCCTTTCTGCCTCCGTGCTCTCTAGAAGGGAGATCTCTGATCTTGGACGCTAGTCCTAGCTCTATGTCTGCCTTAGCTTTCCTGACAGCCCGCCTCCAGGCCCGAGCAGAGGAGGTAGCACCCCTCTTCCACCGGGTGTACGCCGCCTTTTTGGCAAGCAGGCATTCCTGGATGCCCTTGGTGAGCCAGGGGGGCTTTTGGCACTTCTGCCCCCCTTGCTTCTTGTTGGGATGGTCACCTCTTGGGCCCCAAGTATCGTCTCCTTAAGGAGCAACCACTCATCTTGGGCACTGAGCTCCCGTGCCCTCGGGAACCCCAGCGCCTCTCCCACTAATCTCAGCTCGTTGAAGTTGGCCCTCTTGAAGTCTAGGGCTACCGCCTTGCTGCAGGCCCTCGACACCCTGCACTGGATGGTGAACTCCAGCAAGCGACGATCGCTGTCGCCCAGGTGGTCGAGGACCTGGAGGCCCCGACCAGGTCGTCGCCTGTGTCCAGGACTAGGTCGAACAGGGCGTTTCCTCTGGTGGGACCGTGCACCTCCTGGGTTAAGCGGAGGTCCTGTATCTCAGCCAGGAGCCTCCTGGAACGGTCCGACCCGGCTGACCGCTCCTCCCAGCAGATGTCCGGGTAATTTAATCCTTGTAAGAGTGGTGCGCAATATTGCAAGTGCCTACATGTGACTTGCAAGCTGAGCCCAGGGTTCAAATAAAATTCTGTAGTCCCAAAACCCTTCTGGCAGCGGGGGGCTGTCTGAGCCGTTTCATAGTCGTTAGGGGCTGCAAGGGACCTTACAGATCATCGGGTCCACGTGGGCAGGAAGAATGGCTCTAGGATTTTTCCACAGCCGAAAACCGAGTGAAGACTGAGAGCTGGCAGTTTCCTGGGAGGCAAGGCTGAGACTCGCGTGCTTGGACCAGCGCGATGTGTAAGGCTGTGATGAGACGCAGAGGACGACTGCTTCACCAGGAGAGCACGCCGGGTGTGACGTAACCCGCCTCCGCAGGCTCCCGCAGCGCTGCAGCGAGCCAAACCCCCGTCGTCCTAACCCAGAATAAAACCACGGTTGGGACAACGGGCTTGCTCCTCTTGTAGCACCGTAAGAGCGCAGAGGCAGCAGTTATTGAAACAGCCGGTCCACGTCACTGTGTGCCGTTCGATGCTGGTGTAATTGTTACGTCTTATCTCTGCTTCTGCCCGACTAGCGGTCCCGAGCGCAGCATTGGCTCTGTCCGCAGCGGTTCTGGAGCGTGTCGAAGGCTGGTGAGGACAGAATCGGAGAAGCCGGGCTGCAGGGGACCTCTGGTCCAGCCCTGCTGCTTAAGGCAGGATTAGCCCTATCCAATCCGTCCCATCCAGGTCCTGTTACTAAAACTGCACAATCGACTCTCACAGAGCCCCCTAACCTGCCCCCGGGAAAGCAGGGGGACAACGGCACGCCGTGTCCTGGTGCTGCAGCGGTTGTTAATAGATGCTCAAGAGATCCCAGGCAGAAGCCATGCCCCATGCTACGGAGGACGACGGTCCCCTCCCAGTCCATACCAGTTTGATCATGGGGGAAAAATTCCTTCCTGACCCCAAATGGGATCAGTTTGAGTAAAGGGTGGGCTTATGATGATGGGCTTAGCGGGCTGTTTTAAGGAGCAGGAAAGCAGCTCTGCAACATGTCCCCGCTTCGCCAGTGAACACAGTGGCTACGTGGCCACCTCCATGCCGGCAGCTCTTGGATCATGGTGCCAGTCTGAGGATCTCGGTCCTTGTTTGTAGGGAGCAGCTCCCGAGTGGGATAAAAGCCACGGCCTGTGCTTGGCACAGACTTGTAGTGAGGTCAGGATGGCAAGCCCTCTAGTTGCCCCGTCTGAATCATCCCTGCCCACAAGGCGCGATGCAAAGTGGTGGTTTAAGAGCTGGCTTGCAGTCGCCCACATCACTGCACATCAGTCCCCATAATAAAGCTCAGGTGGTGATGCACGAGGGCTGGTGCACAGGTGAAACCTACTGTCCCCCACCCCCAGCTGCTTGGAGCTACTGGCTCCCTTGACCTCCTTGGTCAACGGACTTAGCCATTTTGATCTTGACCTTGGACGTGGGAGCTGGTGTCATGCTGGAGTGTGAGCCTAGCGGGGATTGCTACCTGCACAGAGGCTGAGCCCTGCGGGCTCTGGGCGTTGTGCAGATGTGTGACCATGGGCCTGGGACGGGGGGCGTTACCAGAGACGGGTTGGTTGCGGAGGCTGGTCTCTGGGCAGTGTCAGGCATGGGAGAGCGGGGTCCACTTACCAGTGCTCCCCTTCTCCAGCTCAGCCTTGCAATGGCACCCGCTTCGGCCAGCTTCGACATCGATGCCCCGCGGTGGGACCAGACCACGTTCGTGGGGCGCCTCAAGCACTTCTTCAACATCACGGACCCGCGCACGGTGCTGGTGTCGGAGCAGGAGCTGGACAGGGCCAAGGCGCTTGTGCAAGGCTGCAGGTACACAGCTGGGCAGCCCAGGCGCCTGGAGGCCTTTCTCAGGGTCACACCATGAACCATTGAGGGGTTGGGATGGGGGGGACACACAGCACGAGGCTCCTCACTGAGCCGTCCCGGTGGGGGTTTCCACCTAGCCCCCGCTGGTAGGAAAGAGGTGGGCAAAGCCTTGCGCTCCTGCCGATGGGGGAGTTTGAACCTAGGGCTCCGGGGTATCGTGAGAGCAGTGCTGAGCTCTGCTGTGCATCCGAGTAGCAGAACATAATGCCTTTCATAAAGGGAGCATTATCTCCCCGTTTTGCAGATGGGGAAAACTGAGGCACAAGAAGAGACTTGTCTAGCAAGCTAGTGCCAGAGCTGCGGTGGAAGGAGTCGGGCAGCCTGGCTCCCGCGTGCTAGAACACATGTCATTTGGGCGTATAGCTCCCTGATGCCCCATGGAGGGGGACACCAGGCTAGAGGCACCCTTTTTCCCCTAGCAGAGCCCTGTCTCTAGGCATCTAGGCAGGACATCGTGGGTGGGGGATCACGACGGCAGCGCGTTGCTGTGCCCAGGGGGGTGCTCCCAGGTGCTGATGGCTCTCTGGTTGGCAGGGCAGGCGTCGTGCCGCCGGGGACCAGCCAGGAGCAGCTGCTGTACGCCAAGAAGCTGTACGACTCGGCCTTCCACCCTGACAGTGGGGAGAAGATGAACCTCATTGGGAGGATGTCGTTCCAGGTGCCCGGGGGCATGGCCATCACGGGCTTCATGCTCCAGTTCTACAGGTACCGCTCCCCGGACGGGTTGGGAGCCAGGGCGGACGGGATGGACCAGTGCCCCTCGGTGGGAAGAGGCCGTTGGACAGGATCTCGCCCTCGCGGTGCGCTGGGACGTGATGAGCAGGTCTCGCTTGTAGCGGGCATCTCTGGCGTGCCAGGGCTCCCTTCGAAGGGTTGCAGCCTCCTCCCCGTCCTGGCCCAAGCTGTCGTCGCGCCCTGCCCTCTCTTCCTCTGCCACATTTCAACGTGCCAGCCTTCCTGGGAGTGACGCGATGGGGGCAGAAATCCTGAATTCAAGGACAAAGCACGTCCTGCCTGGGAGGCTGCAGGGAGCGGGCGGGCAGCCGAAACGCCGGGAGGGTGGTCTCGTTCCCTGCCAGCAGGCCGGCAGAAGGAGTGCGGGTGCCCCGGTTCCTAGCCCGGTGCCCTCTTCTCTAGGGCACGCTTCATTCGAGTGTGTTGCTGCCTGATGCCCCGTGGCAGAGGATGCCCAGGCCAGAGGAGCACCGGCCACTCTTTCTGGTGTTTCCCTGGTGGGGTCCGGTTGTGCTGGGGCTTTCCAAAATGTCCAGGAGGCTCCTCGCTCCCTGAAACGTGGCACTTTCTGCCTCTGTGGCCTTCCCCACCGCATCTCTAACACAGCCTGATAGCAGGGCTCAAAACCAAGTCTGCGGTGCCTGATGGAAATGTCTCCCGGCCCCACCAACCCTCCCCGTTCTCCCTTATCTTATTAACCATGCTCCACTGCTGATTCAGGCTTTTCCTAATGATTAACCAAAGCCAGCCGCCTGCTTTCCTGCCTCTCTTTGTCCTTTGCATCCTCTGAGCTGGGGGGGCTCCTGCCCCAGGTTGGTTCCACAGTCCCAGTATTGTGTTCACCTTCTCCTGCTCTCTGCCTTGGGGTGTTTGGGCGGCGTTATGGGGCCCTCCTGCTTTGCTTTCCCATCTCAGTGCTCCTCTCTGCTGCATTCGGGGAGCGAGCTTGCATTGGGCCCCAGCGTTGGACCCAACACTGGTTGCTTTCTTCTCTGGGATGATCCTGAAGAGACCAGCTGGGATGGGTGCGCCGTGTCTTGTTCCTCCCGCACCCTGATCTAGCATGTGTTTGCTCTCCCCTGCCCCCCCACCCCCACCCCGGCGCACCTCAGATGCCCTGCTTCTTGCGGGGCCAGGTCCCATGCGCAGCCTCCTGCACCCACTCTGAGCTCTGGCCTCCCTGCCTGGCAGGACGGTGCCCGCCGTGGTATTCTGGCAGTGGGTGAACCAGTCCTTCAACGCCCTGGTGAACTACACCAACCGGAACGCCGCCTGCCCCATCTCGCTCACGTGAGTGTTGCCCCGGTCCTGCCGTTGTGCTCAGGCCGGAGCTGTGCACCCTGACCCCAGACATGCCCAGAGGCCCCGAGCTCCTGGATGGCTTGGGGTAGTGTCCCCCCCTGCTCCATGGAGGGGACGTACTGGGAGTTAGGAGCCTTTCTCTAATGTTTCTGCTGCCAGCCGAAACCTGGGACTTTTGGGAGACGTTCCCCACTTGAGCCGCGGCTCGCCTTAGATGCCTCCAGTCCTAGGTGGTGGCACCCAGACTCTTGAGCAGGGTTTGAGGGGTGGGGGAGGCCTGCAGGTACCTTCAGCAGGGCTGGATGGTGGGTCCTGGGCATGGGGTGTCTGCAACCAGGTCTCCACAGGACCAGGGTCCTTCCCAGCCGGGAGCAGCATAGCTACATCTGCACCTGGGGTATGGCCAAATAACAGGGGTGTCCTGGGCTCCAAGGAGGACACGGGAGGCAACCCCAGTGACCTAGCCAGGGGCTCAGTGGCTGTGCTGGGGGACTGTTGAGTCACAGGTGGGTTCCCCCCTCTCCAGGCAAATCGGAGTGGCTTATGTCACTGCCACCAGCACCGCCCTGGCAACTGCTGTGGGACTCAACCTCTACACTAAGGTACTGTGGGCAGTTCCAGGGAGCGGGTGGGATCGGGGGGCCGGCAGGAGACTTGCTTCTGGAGGCCACTGCTAGCCCCCGGCTGACCCCTCCAGCGGGATCAAGGAGGTCTGGTGGTCTCAGGTGGCTGGGTGCAAGGTGGCAGCCCGGGGCTGCCCCTCTGCAGAGCCCCTGGGTCAGAAACGCCTGTCCCAGGGCCCTAACAGGGCTGCTCCCCTTCTCTGTCCATGCAACCTTGATGCCCCCCCGGCGTCCGAGGGCCTGGCTCACCCGGCTCTCCTTCCTCCACAGAGAGCCCCACCCCTCGTAGCACGCTGGGTCCCCTTCGCCGCAGTCGCAGCCGCCAACTGTGTGAATATCCCCATGATGAGGCAACAGTAAGTTGGTCCTACCCAATGCTCTGGCCTGTGGGAGCATGACTGGGGGGTGGATCTGAAACCAAGCACGGAGGAGGCAGGGGCAAGGAGAGCTCAGCCTGGGTAGCCTGGGCTCCTGGTGAGACTCGGTGATCTCTTGAGGTCCCTTCCAGCCCTACTCCTCTGTGACTGGAGTTAGTGCCAACTCAAAGTTATTACTGGATGGTTTTCGAACCCACTCGTCCAGTTGTCAGATAATGGCTCCATGGGGCAGAGAAAGTGTTGGTTCATTGGCTCGTTATAGAATCGCAGACAATGCAGGTGGACGGGACCTCAGGAGGGCACATCACGTTCAACCCCCTGCTCAAAGCAGGACCAGCCCCAGCTACGTTATCCCAGCCAAGGTATTGTCTAGCCGGGTGTTCAAAACCACCCAGGATGGAGATGCCACCTCTCTGGGTACTCTGTTCTGGTGCTTTACTACCCTCCTAGTGAGAGTTTTTTCCTAATAGCCAACCTCAACTTCCCTTGCTGCAGCCTGGGCCCATTGCTCCTTGTCCTGCCATCTGCCCCCGCTGAGACCAGCCCAGCTCCGTCCTCTTTGCAGGCCCCGGCAGGGAGTTGAAGGCTGCTGTCAAATCCCCCTCAGTCTTCTCTTCTGCAGGCTAAACAAGCCCATTTCCCTCCGCCTCTCCTCACCAGTCCTGTCCCTAGGCGCCACAACCATTTTTGTTGCCCTCCGCTGGACTCTCTCCAACATGTCCACATCCTTTCTGTCGTGGGGACCCACAGCTGGACACAGGACTCCAGATGTGGCCTCCCCAGTGCTGAATAGAGGGACGAATCACTGCCCTCCATCTGCTGGCACCGCTCCTGCCGATGCAGCCCAGGATGCCGGTAGCCTTGGCACCAAGGGCACGCTTGGCTCACTGTTATGGTGAGATCGTCCATGATGAAAGCACACGGGGCTTCCTCTGCCTCTGGGTGCTGTTGGGAACAGAGTGGAGGACTGGACGGACTCCTAGAGCGATACCAGACCAGAGCTGATCACGAAGGCTTGTGTCTGGCTCCCCTCCCTGTAGCCGCCAGTTTGGAGGAAACTGAAAAATCCCCATGACTTGGCCTAAGAAGAGGAGCCAGAGGATCCACCCTCAGTGGGCACAGAGCTTGATGACTGGTGGTCTTCATATTGGCATGTGTACTGGCATTGTGCAAGGCAACTGACATCACCCGTGAGGGCTCCCGGTGTCGGGGACTGAGCCAGCCGTTGGCAATTCTCTGCTCAGGGCCTTTGCTCGGTGCTCCAGGACCTGTTCTGGACTTTGTTACCATCTCCTTCCATGCCAGGCCGTTGTGACTGACCCAAGGATACGTGTGCGTGCTTGTGCATGCAGGTGTGCCCATGGTGCGTCTCTCAGGGGCTCAGCACCTGCCGTTATTGCAAGCCGTGGCGTTTTCCTGCAGCTCTTGCAGCAGAGGCCCATGTTTGCCTGCATGCGGAGCAGGATTCTAGTTCTGGCTCTGCAAGGGCTGGGTGTGTTTGTGCGTGCATGCACGCGTGCATCTACGTGGCTGACCTTGCAACTGCCGGGTTTCTGCAGCGGGTGGATTCAGTGTTATGGGGACAGTTGTAGGGCAGATAACACCGAGCTGTGGGTACCTCAGTGTTCGGCACACAGCAGTTTTCCTTGTGCCAGGAGGCGCCTGGTGATGAGCCCTGTAGAAACAAGGCCTGGGCAGAGCAGCTACAAAGCCCTTTGCTCAGGTTTTCCAACACCATCAAAGTCGGGAGGCGGTGACCCAGACCCTCTGCCCGGTTCTCCCCACACTGATTAGCCAGGGGCAGGGCGGGGGAGCAGCACAACCGATCTGCAGTGGGCCCAGATGTTGCACCAAGATGCGGTGGGGGAGCGCTGTTCCAGCAGTGCCCCGGAGATGGCAGCATTGCTTCAGCTAGTTTAAGTTTGCCTGGCAGCTGGGTCTGTGCCCTGGATCTGCACCCTGAAGCCGGCAGACCCTGGCCTGGGGATGCTGGGGTCCCCAGCCAAGATTTAGCTGAATCGCCAGTTGCCTCCTAAGGGACTGGCCCACTTGCTGTAGGGGGTGGCTAGTGCAGCCTCCAAGCCAGGGGCACGGCATCTTCCCAGGGATTGCAAGCAAGGGAGCAAGACTGGATTGGGAAGAACTCGCTCCTGTGGGTTAGGGCGGGAGGATCTGTTGTTAGGGCAGCGCCCCATCTCAGCCAGGCCCTGCGTGGGGCTGGGCAGCACCAGGCCTCCCTGCCTGTGTCCCTTCCAGCCTAGGGAGCCTTAGCACAGCGCTGTGCACGGGGCAGGAGTGCGTCACCTCGGGCATCGCATCCTGAAAGGGGGGCGCGATGCTCCTGGCCCAGAGGCAGGCCTGCTGAGCAAGCACAGGGGCCCGTGCTGTTTCTGGAGAGTATGGGGAGTCAAACCAGTTAAAAGCCAGGCTGCAACCCCCTGGGCAATGGGCCCAGCTCCTTGGTGACTGCACCTCGTTGGTGCTACTCGGGCCTCGTTCCCTACTCGTGATGCACTGGGACGAGTGGCTAAGCCTAGGAGATGCAGGGCAGAGGGGGCCGGGCAGGGGCTGTTCTGGGGTGACGGGAGGAGGTGTCATTGGGCTCGTGGGTGCAGGGGCTGGTTCCAGCCCGCGCCTCGGCCCCGAGCACCCACAGCCGCCCGCCTGCTGCCTTTAGGGAGCTCATCAACGGGATCGCCGTGACGGACGAGAACAACAACGAGCTGGGCCTCTCCAGGGTGAGTCTGGGCTCTCCAGGGCGGGTGGGCTGGTGCCGACATCCATGCCGAGGTGTCTCCCAGGCTCAAGCTTCCCCGGAAGCGGTCGCAGGGGCAGGAGAAGCGTCTGCAGAGCTGCTGGACATCCGCTCGCCACTGTGGTCCTCAGCGTGCCACGGTGACCCCCAGGGACGTGGCAGGGGCAGGGCTGGAGGACGTAACCGGGCCACTCGGGCGATGCCACAGTCCTCGTAGACGTGCCAGGGGCCGGCCCAGCTGGTGAGCCCTTGGCACTGCCCATGCCCGTTCTTGCTTTCAGAGAGCCGCTGCCAAGGGGATTACACAGGTGGTGATCTCCAGGATTGCCATGGCCGCGCCTGGCATGAGTAAGTGCCTGCAGAGCAAGGGGCAGGGATCCTGCGGCGGCCGGTTGGGTAGGGGGGAGGCACAGGATGGCTGCAGCTCTGGGGAGCTCTGGGCACTGCTTGCGCTGACAGCCAACCGGGGCCCCCTCACGGGCATCCTTTGTCCGTGTCCAGAGCAATGGTCTCTGCAGTCATGGCTTTCTCCTCCTTGTCCGGCCTCTGGGGAGTTTGCATGGCCACGCGCACCCCCAGGACCCAGGTCTCAGCAGCCCCCCCAGGAGCCATCCTGCAGCACCGTACGATGCCCCTGGTGCCCCCTCCCCAGGCACTCCCCGCTATCCCCCTGTGGGGTGCTGGTCCCCTTCTGACGCTGCGGGCGGGAGAGGAGCCACGCCATGGCTCGGCGTGCATGAGGGTAGCAGACGAGGCCCTGCCCCGCACAGACCGTCTCCTCGACTGGCCCTGGGGGCGGAGGAGGATGGCCTTCAGAGCTCCCATTTTGGGTAAATCTTGCCATGTTGGGACCAGTTTCCTCTTTGAGGCCCCTCGGGGAAGTGATGAGCTGGAATTGGGCTGGAGGTGGCTGAGGACTTTGACTCCTCTCTCTCCTTTTTTGCCAGTTATTCTCCCGATTATCATGGAGCAGCTGGAGAAGTTTCCCTTCATGAAGGTGAGGCCTGAGCTGTCCTCTGTTCTGCCCCAGCTCCACCTTCCCGGTGGTCAGGCATCTCCACGGCCCTGCTGACCCCTTCCTATCACCTGTGCTCTCCCTGAGACCAGCTCCACAGACACTGGCGTCCTTCCCTTGTGCCATCTTCAGTTCCCGGCTCTCCTCGCTGGCCTGGGGAGTGACGGGCCCAGACGCTGGGCGGATGGAGCAGGGGGTTGGAGAGGGGTGCACAACCCATTGCAAAGGGCCGGTCCATAGGTCTGATCCCAGAGTCACAGCAGCGCAAATTTCCAGACCCATCCAGCCCGCAGGCCATAGCCTGAGTACCGGTGGCGTAGAAGACCTTTAGCGATGCTCAGAAATGCATGCACATCTAACACGCAGGAAAAAGGATTTGCTGTATTAGACCTGGCCGCAAATTTAGCTCCCTTCTCCATGAGCAGGCTTTGAGGTAGCCGTGGTAGCCGGGGGTTGGGATTTCAGGAGCTCACTCCTCTCCTCTCATCCCTTTGCAGAGGATCCGGGTCCTCCATGCACCTTTGCAAGTGATGCTGGTCGCGGGCTTGTAAGTACCTCGCAGCTGGGACCGTGGCTGTTCTCCAGATCCCAGGGATGCCATCTCCGTCATCTTGTACAGCCCGATATCCAGCACTTGTGAGCACGCCCAGCTCCGGTGGGATCCCGCAGAGCACTCGGCACTGCTGTGACCGGGGCACAGCCTGGTGCAACTGAGGGGCGGCCATCCTCTGCTTTGGTTGTGGGCATTGAAGAGCCCAGGGGCCTCTTGTGCTGTTCCCCACCAGAGCTGTGGCCTCTGAGTCTCCCAAGGCTTTCTGAGTTCAAGGCTCCCTCCTGGATGGGGCTCATGCTGAGAAGGGCTTAGGTGGCATATCGGTCCCTAGGTCCCCTGGATGCATCCCCAAGCCTCCTGCCTACTTCTGTAGGCATCCAGAGGAGTCCCATTGCCTCTTGGGTCTGGGAGAGGGTGATTCCCAGGGCCCATAGAGGCCAGGCTGTTGCTTGGGGAGTGGGTGTTGGTCATCTCCGGTAACGTGGTTGCCCATCTCCCCGCAGCCTCCTGTTCATGGTGCCGGCGGCCTGCGCGCTGTTCCCGCAAAGATGGTATGAGCCCGACAGTCTCTCCCCGCCTCCCTTAGGGCTGCAGTCCCCCTCTCACCATGCCTTGTACCAGGGGGGTCTTTGGCTTATCCTTCCCCCGCGGCTCTGGGGCAGAGCTCCTCTGTCCAGACGGCTCTGCCCCTGGATGGGGGAGGCTGCAACGTGACCTCCCTGCTCCAGGAGCGGCTCCTTGGCCCCTTCGTGGCGCTGGCTGCGCTCCCACGGCAGCTGCCTAGCAAAAGGCTGGAGACCAGCTCCCCCCAGCCAGCTCGCATCCGACTAGCGCAGGCTCTCACCCTCTCTCCTCTCCTCTCCTCTCCTTGCAGCTCCATGGCGCTGTCCAGCCTGGAGCCGGAGCTCCGCGCCCGCGTCGTGGCCACGCACGGAGACAAAGTGCCTTACGTCTACTTCAACAAGGGGCTGTGAATGGGGCCTGGAGCCCTCCAGATCCCTGCACCCTCCAGTCGGGGCCAGTCCCACCTGGTCCCCGTCCCCACCACCCCCCTGCTCCCAGAGGAGAGGACCTGAAGCGACTCCTGGCTGCTGTGGTTGGATTCTGGGTCTCCGGAGGGAATCCCCCCTGGCTGGGCCCACGTGTGAGCTGGGCTGAGGTGCTGCCCGCTGCCCTAGCGAGCAGAGGGTGCCTGTCCAGCCAGGCTGCCACGTGGCACCGTAGGTCTATCAGCCACAGGCCTGGAGAAGCCTCTCCAGTCCCCTGACGTTTCTGAGCAGGCAGCCTGGCTTGGGGGAGGCTGAGGCCTGGCTCCGATGCTGCTCAGCCTCCCCCATGCCCGTCTCCAGCACTGTGCCCCCTTCCCCAATTTAAACAGCTCCCTGCCCCTGCTGAGCAGGGCCTGGTGGGAGCGCACACATGGTGCTACCCCTCTGTTCTTCCCAGGGGAGGCCGGTCTCGGCCAAACCTGTTGCGGGTCAAACCCGTTACACCCCAGGACCTCCCACTGCAGCCGGAGCCGTGCGGCCTTCTGCTCTCAGCTTCGTTCCAGACCTTCACCTTGACCCCCTCCGGCCTTACGTAGGCATCATCCTCCTCTCCCTGTGCAACGAGTAACCAAATGTCTTAAAGGAACAAGGATCTCTGCCGTGGCCTTGGGCTGAATTGACCGAGTTAGATTTTCAGTCCCCGAGCTGCATTGCAGACAGACCACACAACCACCCGTTTGCACCCGCGTCCTCCGCTCAGCTCGGACGTGGGTTGCAACGAAGCCTGGAAATGCCTTATTTTTTTTTAAGATGCTTTTTATCCGCCAAGCCTTCGCCTGCAGATTGCCACGGTTGCTGTAGGTCCTACCCAAAGACCCTCTGATATGCCTCTGCTGTGGTCTTCAGCGTGTGAGCTGCTGTCTGAGCCACGCTGGCATCGACGGTGCAGGGATCTGGCTGGGACCCGCATCGTTTTCAGCCCGTTGTAAGACGAGGGAGCAAAAAAAATCACGAATCCCAAAACTAAAGGGTAAGGAAATGGGACATGTTGAGGTGCCAGATAAGAGGAGGAAGAAATAAATGTCCAAGGATTTTTTAAAACCACTGCTGATGCTGCCACTGTCTTCTGTCACCCGGCAAGGGGTATCTCCAGCGATCCCACCAGTGACCTCCATATGTAGCCACTCCAAGTGGAGGAAATGGGCAAAGTAGTGGTAGGTCGTGTGCATAATTCAGGAAGAAGAAACCAGGAGCTGGAGGAAGGAGGGGGGGCTGAGTTGAGACAGGGATTGGGACCTGGACCCTGGCTACAAGGATTTAAACAGCTGCCCATGGTCAAACTAGCATGAACCGTGGGGGTTTGCCCTCCTTTGCAATGGGGACATGGCCTCAGCCTGGGGTCTGTCCAGCATATATTAACCTTCACAGCAGCCGGATGTTGGCCACCACCTGCTTGTGTCTGGTCCGAGGGCTGTGCCTCTCGTTGCATTGGGGTGGCTGTATGGTTTTGCTGAGAGATTGAGCACTGGGTTTGTATAGGGTGTTTTGGATAGGGCTGAGCCTGCCTCAGGCAGGGGGTTGGACTGGATGACCTCCGAAGACCCCTTCCAGCCCTGTTTTTCTATGACCGTATGCAGGAAGGAGTCCTAGAAGAACCGGGTGGAGTCTGGAGGGCCAAGCCTCTGTTGTGCAATGATGCTTCACGTATTTGGGTCTGCAGACACGTGTCTGTGGAGGTCCCAGAGGCAACTGCACTCCCAGGCCCTCTGCTCTAATGCGTGTGTTGTGGGGTAGGGGTGGAGAGGGGCTACACCTTTTTCTTGTCTTGCATAGATACTTGGTTGAGAGCCTGGAACGGGCTTCTGCGATGCCAGCTGCTGTAGCCAAAAATGCTGCTGGGTTTGAACCGTTCTGTCAAAACAGCGGGTGTCTGCATCCTGCCTGCCTGTGGGTCCAGGCAGCTCCTCTCATCTGCAGCTAGACCCGTGTCCTGGCTGAGCACAGGCCGTGCCCATGTGGGGAGCTGCCTTTGCAGTGCTGCCCAGCCAGCAGCATCCCAGAAAGCTTCACAAACAGAAATGCCAAGCGCCTTTGTCACAGCTCCGTTTCCTTCATCGCTGAAATGCGGTCACCTCTGGGGTGGAGCACTGCAATTGGGTTTAAGAGCAAGGCCCAGCCCTGTATAGGACAGGAATTGAAGAAGCGTCCTGTATCCCAGCGGTGCTCAGTCTCTGGCTTAGGGGCCTGATCCGGCCCGTGGAGCGGTCCAGCTGCAGTGCTCCCCATGAGTTGGAAATTTGGCAGAGGCAGCCTGGAGCCATGCCAATTAACACTGCTCCCCACCGCCCCTACCACCTTTCCAGACCTATGCAGAGCCCTGCAGTCTGGATGACGTGGCCCTGTGTGCAGGTTGCCCCACGACGAGATTCAGGTCATGTGGACCGACTCCTGTGCACTGGATCAGACCCACGGACCAACCTTGCACTCCGGATCAGGCGTGCAGGCCAGCCTGCAGGGCCGGAAAGGTTGAGCACCGCTGCTGTGTCCAAATAAACCTGCGCCCGCATTTCAGGAAAGCGGTAAGCAAGGATCCCAGGTTTGAATTCAGCGATAGCTGTAGCAGTTGGGTCTCCAGGGCCTTGTCTGCACTAGGGCTCTTCCACCAACCTTTCCGTCATCGCTGCCATTTCAGCTCTCAGGCACTAACCTTGATTCTGCCTCCTAGTCGGGCAGTGCGATTTTAAAAGCATGCTTAAGGCATTTTAGTTTGCTGCCCAAAAGGATTTGAGGCTGTTTAGACTTGCATCGTTCATTCATCCAGGATGGTTTGCACAGGGCTGATCCTGCCTCCGCAGGAGTTGGACTAGATGTGACCCCCACGGGTCCCTTCCAGCCCCGCAGCGCTGGGCTTCGCATCCCTTTCATGACATCTTCCCAGGTTTGGGCTGTCGTAGCTGTGCTTTAACATGTCTGGATTTCTGTAAAGGGCGACTCGGGCTTTCCTGGGGTGGAAGGGCTTGTTCTGGAAGATAGTTTCCTTGCAATGCTTTTTTTTACCCTTCGGGTATTGATCTGTGTCTCATCCACATGATCGAAGCTGGGAGACGGAGTACAATGGGAGAGGAGGGGAGCATGTGTGTTGGGTGGTGGGAAGGAGCACGTGTGGGTGTTGTGCTGTGGTCCGTAGGATAGTCCCAGGGGCTGCGCACCCCCAGCCTGAAGATGCCCCATCCAAAGTCGAGTGGCCTTAGCATTCCTGAAGCTGGCGGTGCTTCCCGGTGGCAATTGCCTGACATATTTGGGGAGTGTCCCTGGGTCCAGCCAGCGGCGCTGGACGCGGCGGAACGGGTCCGAACGTCCAAGGCTGCACAAGCTGGGCTGCGGCCAAGTGCCAGGCAGCTGTCTGGCTTGCTCAGGGACGCCCCACGGTCCCCAAATCGCTGCCTGGCGGGGCAGGGCCTGTGAGCCGTCCTACCCCCGACTGGACGGGCGCGGGGATGGATGGGGGCAGGCAGGCGCTGGAGCGGCAGCCTCGCGTGCCTCGGCCCAGGGAGAGCGCTGGCTCTGTGTACCCCGGGCGTATCGGATGTTGCAAGAGCAGCAATGCTCCCGGCCTCTGCCTTGTTCCACCTGGCCGGGCAGCTTGCTCCTGGGTGCCACCTGCCCCCCCTCTGCCCAGGGCATCCCTGCCCTCCTCCTCCTGCTGCACATCCCGATCTGCTGGGAAGCCTTGGAGCTGGAAAGCCCTGAGCAACCCGCTTCCTTTCCTCCTTGGCCAGCTCACAGCCCCCTTGGCTCATGCTCTTACCCCCCCTCCGGAGCTCCCTCGGACGCGGGCTCTGATCTTTCCATAGCAGAAACGAGCTCGCCAGGTGTAAAAGCCCTAATTGAAGTCTCCATTAAGCAATACGCTTGCCAGACTGAATAACCCTACGTTCCTTTTGGCCCTCCTTTCCCTTCCCTTTCCTCTTACCCCAGCCTGCTTTTGCTAGGATCTCAATTAGGCCCCGATCCTGCGGCTGAGGCCAGATTCTGGGGACCTGCTGATTTTTATTTATTTATTTATTTGGATGGACTAGATGTGACCTCCGGAGGTCCCTGCCAGCCCCCCTTGTCTGTGACTATAACCCGTGCTTGTTTAACCTGCATGCAACTCCCAGGGATGGAGCTTCTCCGGGCAAACCTTTTCCTGGTCTTAATTACATTTCCCTTTAACTTGCCAATACAAAAAGGAGCAGGTGCCCAGATTTGGTGCTCTCTCCCCCCGGCTCTTGGCACGCAGTCCCTCTTTGCCCCAACATCCTACGTTGCGCGGAGCACGCCCGCACCAGGCTGGTGCCTCTGCCCAGCCCGGAAGAAGCCTCATGCCTTGTAATTAGCAAGATGCTTCTTGTAGCACAACGTGCCACAGGTGTGTTACAGCCGGTGCCAGGGCCTTGTTTGCACTGAGCTCATTAGAGGGCTGGTGGGCCCCTCCCTGGGACAGAAACCTGACAGGCTGCAGTTTCGCTGTTGACAGGGTGTGGGGGTTTGGGACGGGGAATTTCGGCA